TGTCGGGTACCGCTTGTCCTTTGTTGTCATGAAGCAGAGGATGATGTTTGAACTTGCAGCCTTCGATACCGCACCTTCTGGCCACCCTGCACCTTCGGCTCCAGTGCCCTTTGCCGAGACACGAGAAGCACAGTGTCTCAGCGCTCACGATATTCATTCTCGCTTCGGTAGTTTTGGCCTTGAACGTCGGGCAGTCTGGGAGCTTGTGCGTGTCCTCACACACCACACATGCCCGTCGGGATTCTGGATCTTCCGAAGAAGTGACGCCTGTCGCGAATGCCGACTTTCTTGCCGTCCCACCGTCCCTGTACTTGGCTGCTTCTGTCTTGTCGTTTGTCACAAACTGGCTGCCAGAGTGGCTAAGGACATCGACTTCTATCTTCAACCATGAGCTAAACGCCTCCAGGGTGGGTCGCACTGGTCGGAGCCTATGCACTTCTCGGCCCCACTCTCGACCAAGCTCGACTGGTAGCTTCTCCACCACTCTTCTCAAGTTTTCGCTGCTCGCTAGGTCGCTTGAGTAGCCCAGATTACGAAGAACTGTCACCGTGTTGTGGACGACTGAGTAGAATTGCTCCATGGCTGGGAGATCCATGAGAGATGGCGGGGTGCAGGTGAAGATCTTTCGCAGATGGGCCTGTATGATGTCTTCCTCTCTGCCGAAGCGTTCCTGCAAGGTCTTGAGAGCCTCCTGGTAGAGTTCCCCGTTGAAGAGCATGCCGTTGATGGCTTGGGCAGCTGGTCCCTCCACCGCGTTTTGAAGGTGTGCCATGCGCTCGGAGTCTGACAACGACGGCTGATTATGCACCAAAGCTTTAAACAGCCCAATCCAGCGTGGCCACTCTTGAGCGCTTCCTCGGAACGTCGGCAGGGTAAGACGTGGGATGCTCTTCACAAACGCCGATTGTTGATGAAACAAAGGCTGTTGCTCAGAGCGAACATCTGTCACCCAGTTAGCGGGATGTTGTTCGTTCTTGCTGCTCGGCAGCTTGGCGTTGTTTGCGGCTGTCTGCTGCTCAGATTGCAGTGTTCGGCGCTGTTCTTGTGGCGGTGGTCTACGCTGAGGCAGGTCGACCGTTACTGGACCCTCCGTCACATTGCACTCCCTGGGGACCAGAGCGACGTTCTCGCCATCGAAATCGTGCCGTCTCTCCCACTCAAGGTCGCTCTCAGCTGCCTTGCAGAGACGTGCCTTCACAAGCGCTCGTTCAACCTCTTCCTCCATAGCCTTCTCCTCCAGCATGTCCTCTTGCTCCTTCAGCATGTCCTCTTGCTTCCTCAGCATGTCCTCTTGCTTCCTCAGAATGTCCTCTTGCTCTTTCTTCAGCATGTCCTCTTGCTTCCTCAGCATGTCCTCTTGCTCTTTCTTCTGCCGCTTCAGCATGTCCTCTTGCTCTCTCTTCTGCCTTTCTCGTTCCTTTCTTGCCCTGAGATGCTTCAGCTCGAGGGCCTTCATCTCTGCAGTTATTTCAGCCTCCCTTGCCACTGTTGAGGCCTTTGAGCATTTTGAAGCCCGGGACCCACTGACCTTACTTCCGTCTCGCCGTGGAGCGAGCGACATCGGCTTCCCCTCTGTCTCGGACGCTGAGCAGCCTGAGGACTTCAACTTGATGGCATCTTCGATAGCCTTGACTGTTGAGGCGTGCCTGGCAGTCATCCGGGTGGCATACTCTTCTGATTCTTCTATCTCACTCACTTCCTGCACCTTCTCCGAGTAATCATCATTTATCTTCAGGACGCCGTCCAGCGCCGTGTTCAGGGCCTCAAGCCGCTTCCTTAGTTCCTCTTCGTTCGCACGGCAAGTGATTTGTGTCTCAGCCGCGTTACAGGCACGGGTGAACTGGGCGGCCTTGCGGCCACGCTGCAGCTTCAGGACCTTCAGCTCACTGGTGGTTGTTCCTTCTTTCACTCCGTCATCGACCCTGTTCTGCGGCATCGCCTTCCCGTTGCTTTCCTCTGTTGAGTCTTGAGGCGTCAGGGTTCCCAACTCTCCAGCAGCACGTCCATTCTCTGCTCCAGCGCCGTCGCCGCTCCGTAGCATCATCTCTCTGTCTTCTCCCTCCTTTGAATCTTCCATTAGTCTTCACTTAGATCCTGCAGGGGGCGAGTTGATACCACTTGACGAACACTGGCGAGGGTTGCTACTGCGGGCTGTGCCTCTGGGCCTCTTCCTCTGACTTCTCACCTCTGGCCGGGGTCATCCGGCCCGGAGGACCAGAAAATGTTGCAGACGTTCTTCAACTTGACTCAGTGGACTGTATAACTGTGTGTGCGTTGACGTCTCGCATCATTTGGTGTGGCGACCGGGGCCTGACAGGATATAGGTTGATATGGTAATGAGGCGAAATTGGGAATTTATAATATAAGAAGTGGATGCTATATGAATGGATATAATTTTGGATCAAGGTTTAAGAGCACTCTTATCAGAGCGACAAAGGAACCCTCTTTACAGAGAGCATGTTAAGACCTAAAAGGGTATGCAGAGCCCTCTTTTCAGAGAGACAAAGGAACCCTCTTTACAGAGAGCATGTTAAGACCTAAATATAGAGCCCTCTTTACAGAGAGACAAAGGAACCCTCTTTACAGAGAGCAAGAGGTATTAGGAAAATAAGGAATCAGATAGGAATGATAAGTAGACCCGGTCACCGTGAAATAGAAGACTGTGCGAACTGACTGTGTGCCACTCTCCCGTGCTCTTATCCGCCGCTGCACTCCACTCTTCACCATTCACAAACACAAGATTCTTCCGAACTGGTGAGTATTGCAGATGGCGAATAGGCGATGACAACACAGTATCACTGACAAGAAGAGTTGGCCAGAGAGAGCGAGGCAGTGCTCTCTCGGCGCCGAAAAGTAAAGAAGTGAGAGCGAGGGTTGCTCCCGCCCCGTTTATGTACTGGGTCGGGAGGACACAGATGGCGACGGAATGATGAAATAACAAAGAAGCTACAGACTACACAGCGTCCTGGTAACCCTACCACGCGGTCGGCACATGTCGGCCTAACGGCTCCGACCCGCCGGGGACACAGTTCCACGTGCGACGCCACGCCAGCCCACCCCCTCCCCCCGGGCCAGTCCCTCCGGTAACAGCGCATCCTTTCATACAACTGCAGCTGTAGGACACGGTCGCAGGGCGAGAGGAGCGTCCCGTCACCCGATCACTGCCATAAAGTCTCTCGCGGACGGCCCAGCTGCCGGCGGCGTGGCAGGGGGATGGGGCGGCGGCGGCGCGGAGCGGCGCCGGCCGGGATCACGAATCGGCCCGGCCCGGCAGCTACGATCGGAGCCGAAATGAGCCGCAACACCAACTACCTAGTGCAGTTTGTCGGCAACAGCCTGGACGTGCGTAGTTCCAGGCATTAACCCAAAACATCGTCAAGCTGGCAGCTTGGTGCCAGGCGCTTTACAGGATCAAATATCAGGACGTATGGGCTCTGCTGAGCATGATTAACTGACCTTAAACGTCAGTAGCGCACGGTGTGGTGTTTTTGGCGTACACTGCGTCATTTTTTCTCAGTGCCCCCAACAGCTAAAACATTGGGGCGGCATCGCATTGCATTGGATCAGTGGGTTGCTATGTGTTGCCAGCTTGGGAGCGAACGTGCAACGTGCACTGTCACATACAGTAGTAATGATGTAGTATTGATGTAGTATAGACATGTAGTATTGATGACTAGGTTTTGGGGCGGCTCGTGTGCCGTTAAATTAGTCTCAGCTGTGCTAGAGTACCTACGTACGCCATGTAGCACGCTTCTCTAGAGGAGCAGTAACTATGTAGTTGTTGCCAAGAAGTTCCAGTCTTTCCAGGCTCGGTCGTTTCTGCCCGGTAAGATGAGCCGCCGTGACTTGTTGGTTTGTTCGCGGCTCAGACTTGACCTGAACGGGTTTTATTGGTTTGCTTTGTGGTGCATTGCTAATTCTGTTTTATGGAGCTGATATCCGCTATCTGTATGCTGAATTATGCTGTTGGCCAACGATTATAACTTAATGGCAACTTGGGAATCCTGCAGTCAGGAACTGCCCCTGACTCCCGCTTTTGGCATTGTTTGGTGATTTTGAACGCATGGACGGCCACTGCTCGCGAGCGGCGATTCCATTCCTGTCGGCAAAGTTGCCACCGGTTCAGAGGGGACAGACGCCGCGGCGGGGCGGCGGCACGGGCGCTCGTGATCCATGACGTCGCGAGTTCTGGCCCCTAGACAGGACCCTCTGGGAGAGCCACCACTGACACAGGACCCCCTGTGTAAGCCACGTCTGTCCCCCGGTGCTACCCCGACCCACTGACCGGCCTGGTACCGAGTGTCTAGACGGGACCCCGGACGGCCGCAGGCTGTCCTGGCTGCACAGTCAGAGGTGGCTGCATTCTGAATTAATGCGATTGTTGGCTCAAATTCGGGACGTTATGCTGGAGTCACCGGGTCGATGGGCTGCCTCGAAGTTGTCGTGCCGATTCAAACTCGGTAATGTTGTGGTGACAGCTCATAACTCGTATCGGCATTCAGGTCATGGTGTGTCAGCGATCGCAGGCACAGTGACCAGCAATGGGAGGTTATTGACATTTGGCAGCCTCCTTTATGCCGTAGGGTGCTCTGGGGCTAGTGACTATGCAGGTCTTCCTCACATGGTTGAAATTCTTTTGAATCTTTATCTTCTGTCATAAGATTTTCTTTAGCTGTGGGACGGGGATGTGTGTAGCCGGTGACTTATCTCTTCCAGCTTTTATGTGTTGCCAAATTTGCAATATTCTCCCATCTTCGTGCGTCTGCCACGGGTTCACGAGGTGACGAAGCCGTCTCGCGACCCCGCCGCCGGTTCCTTGAGAGGTATTGAAGGCACACCCTTGATCTCTTTGTATTGTTGTGCTCGTTTAGGGTGTTTGCATTTATCTAAGTTTCCAGTGTCAGAAGGGTTTAATCACGGTCTCCTCTCTTTCTTCTCAGTTGTACTGGGGGTGCCGGTGGACATTGGCTGACGACTGTCCCCTCTCTCTCTGTCCCCAGGTGTCCTCGGGGGTGCCGGCGCCGGCGGCCGGCCTCAACCCGGAGGCGCACGTGTTTCAGCTCTCCTCTGCCGGCGGCGGGGGCGGCACCTCGGACGCCGCCGCTGCCGGACTGGCCGCTCCTGCTGATGCTGCCGTTCATATCGCCGTCCAGGGCTGGGACGGTGACGGTACCGGACTGGCGGCGACGGACCCCGCGGCGGCCGCGGCAGCTGGATACGTGATGACCCCGTCTGACGGCGCCTCCTCGGTGTCGCCGCAGTCTTCAGGGGACGGTGAGTGCCGAGAGGGGTAGTAAGGGAGTGCCGAGAGGGGGGCGCTACTAGACGCTACTGGACCCCTTAGCGCTACTAGACGCTAAGGGGTAGGAAGGGCGCTACTAGACGCTACTGAGGGGAGTGGAGGTGGGAGACACATCTGAGGAGGGTGGTTATGCGAGTGGTAGAAGGGAAGGTGGCGGTGTGTTAAAGGGATCCCTCATGGACAGAGAATGGCTCTAGTGGGAGGACCTCGCCCAATCTGACTTCGTAGTTAATTTAGGTTTCCTCGTAGACGATGTGTTAAATGGACAGTCAAACTGAGGTTTAGTCGCCGGGGAGGGAAGCTTGTGTCCGGCTGAGAGAAAATAGCTTTAGGTGAGACATTTCATTTGCCTAGTCGATCGCCTATACAGCTCTTCAAGCACCATGCCTTTTTTATTCTTCAGCAAGGTAAGTGCGAGTGTATTTGAGGAAGGACCGAGTTCTGATCTGAGCTGGTATCGGCGATTTGTCGGTTAAACAGCTGGTTCTCGCAGGTCGGCGGTAGCTTTGCTAGGAAGCGAAACAATCTGTGAGCTTCAAATAGAGAATACACAGAAACGTCCGATTATGCATCTACGCGCCAAATGAACCAAACCTGAAAATAAGTTAAACTATTATTTCTTCATAGGCTGAAAATAGACGTAATGAATGTCGCCGGAAACAGTGCCGGTTTGTGCTGACGTTTATCTGTGTCGTTAGAGCTGCAGTTATTAGCTGGCATTGGGCTTAGTGTGCTGTGGGAGGAAAAGCTTTTACCCACCCTCGCATAAGACTTCCTGATAAAGCTATAGTTGATCTCGACGTCTCGAGGGTTTTATCCGTCTGTCAACCTGTCTTCTTGTGCTGAATGATAGGAACTGTCTGGTATTTTGCTAAGTCGTTCTGTTGTACCCAAGGGGAGTAGAATAGCGGAACAATCCCAATAACCCTACCTAACAGTCTTTGTGTGGCGGTGATGGAATATTCAAACCCAAATACCCGTGATCAACTGAAGGCTCAGTGAGATCATAGCTGCTGTGGCTGGCTGTCGGCTCAGAGAACTGACTATGTGAGCTCAGGGGTCACTCGACCGTGACTGAGGGCGGTCACACATCAGCTACGGCGTCACGCAGGTCCAACACGGTTGGCACTAAGGTGGCGGACAGGACGCGGCGGCACTTTAATTAATGGTATTATGGCGGGTTGGGTGTGTTTGGCCACTGTTGATTCTTCTTGGGGGCAGATGCAGTCACTGAATGGGAGTGGTGCAGCGTTTGGGTAGATTCGTTTGCGATGCTAGTTATTGTCATTAGACAGAGCATGCACGGAGAGCAATCAGCTTATTTGAATAGGGAGCTGTGCACTGTGCAAGTTTTCTATGCTTCCTTGGTCATTTAAATCGCCCATTGAGTAATCCGAGTGCACCGGTCTTGTCTTGATGTGGGTGTCTCAAACCCCGAGACGTTTGATTCTTGGTGGGCCGGTTTCTAGAAGTGTTGCGGCTCAGCTAGGTGCCCTTTTATCCTGATGCAGCAAGGCGACTCGCTATGAATATGAATTGTAGTGATTGCGGATTTCATCGCATTATGAAATAATGCAACTGTTTTCCGCGGCCTTTTGCATTTTCTATGAGATGGTAGTGATTTTGTCGGGGACCACTCGACACTGACGTGTTCGCGATCAGACTGCAGATTGTCGCCATCCTTCCAACACTGGCCGAGGAAGAGGCTGTTGCAGCCTCCGTTTCTGGGAGGAGGGGGGGGGGGGGTGTCACGGCCTCCTGCCATTGTCCGAGGAAATGCGTCTCCGTCTTCCTGCCTCTCTAGGCCGCCGCCTCCACCCGTTTCCTGGTCTGACGCGCAGCGGCTGAACCATTTGCTAATGAGATTCTTCATCCCGAAAACATTTCCAACAATCGTACACAATTAGGGGAATAAATATTCCATTAGGCCTAGGTCTTTTCAAGCGGGCGGGAAAGTTGTCTAGTCCAACATACTCGTGAAGTCGACCTTGGGAGTGTTTTTGTTGCGTTTTCCAAACTTTTGGACTCGCGGTCCATTGGTGGCGGAAATTGAGGCTGGTTAGCAGTTAAAACCGGAAGTCAGTCGACTATATTCTTTTGTATGTGCTGCATTTTATTAGCTCAGACCATTCAGACTGATTAATAAAAATGAACATGGTTATATAATTTACTCACTGTAGAAATGCGTGCTTTGAGTTAGGCTTAAATCCACTCAATGTCAATTGGATGAGACTTCATGCTGTGGCTGAATCTTCAAGATAGTGGTAATTTCGTGTCAGTCTAGCGCATTCTCTACAGATCCCTCCGTCAGTGACACAATAGTTAGTTGGTGCAGTCATTTATCATTTGTTTTCGATATCGCTGCGCCTGTAAGAAACAACATAGCCATTACAGTAACGTATGGCCGCATATTGGTCGGATCACGAAACCAGCCTGCCCTGTTTTGCATACCGACTCCCGATATTTAGGGTCTCGTTTCGTGTTTCGTGACCTGAATTACCGACAGCCCCCGCGCTGTTATTTGCCGTTCCGGTAAAATGCGCGTGCGATCTGTGCGCGTACGTCCGGAACGGGCCCGGCCTCGGGCGGGGTGCGCCGTTTTTGTGTGCGCGCTCAAGGCGCATTCCTGACGGTGGCGGGTGCGTGACCGAAGTTTTCAGCTGTGACGCGGAGCCGGTGGTTACGGGAACATGCAAGGCCGACCCCGGTTATGGGTGTTTGTTGGGCCACGAGTCAGCTGGTAATTGTAGGTTTAGGTATTACGTGGGCTAGATGTGGGTAAAATTGTGAAACGTATCTCATTTTTAAACCATAGAGCGAAGTGAGTCATGGATACGAATCGCGGTGCTGGCTTCGCTGTGCGTGGTTGGGCTCGCATGCACATTCGTACACACTATGTACACATGTCGCTATAGTTATACTAACCTAGAATAAGCAGTGCACATTCCCTCCCCAGAGTTGGTCTCGGCAGCTTGTTCAGCTACTCGAGCATATTTATTCATTGTTAGAACAGATGTCTTGGTCTCTGCTCAACTATCGCATCGCATGCCGAAAGGACAGCGGCTTTCATGACAATCAAATGTGATAAAAATTTAACCTGAGAGGTCTTTTTACAGCCAAACTGAATAATATTGGTGCATAAACTGTAAAACAGTTAAAGGAAGGGTGCCACCTTCCGAAATTTTTGTTCTATGAATCTATTTTACTTATTTGAATTTTTAGACGTGGTTAGCGCGTCCACAATATACAAAAAACCGAAACATTGCATTTAATACATTGGCCAAAAAAAAGATCGTTGTTTATATCACCACTACAACTCAAGGTCGTTTGATGTGGCAGCTAGGACGGCTGGCATATCCTGTTGTCATGGCAACATATCATTCTGCCATTTGCATTGATGGCGCAACTGAGACAAAAAGATGAACAAATAAAAAGGAAGAAGATAACATGATTTGAACTAGTTGTAGGTAACCAAGTAGGTAACTGTTGGCCATATTTCATCATCAAATAAGAACATCAAATAAGTCGAGTAAAGGTTTTTCCTTTACAATGCTTAAGAGATCTATGGAACCCTTCACCCTTCATGCAACTTACTAGAAAAACTTCCCAATTAAAATTTTAAAACTTAAGTGTATACCATAAATAAAAAATATACCCTTTCAAAATGATAAAACATGCTTCAAAAGTATAACTTTTATACATACCTTTGCTGATTTCATGTTTTATAAAATACCCTTAACACGACGAGGAAATAGTGCTGAAGATTTTTGCCTGCCCGAATGCTGGCAGCAAAACTCGCAAATGATAACTTCACGTGCGGATTCAATGCTGACCGTCTCGAGCATAGGTAAGTGAAGCCGGTTTTTAGGTTCATGTGAGGCTAATCTTGTAAAAACTGCGTTGTGTCCAAAAGGTGGCACCCTTCCTTTAAACTGCTGTTTATTATAGATATCAAAACTGGTTCAATCTCGTTCAGTGTAACGGAATGTTGATACCTGACATTTCTTTTTCCTTTCTTCTCGACAGTAAAAAGTCTGTATCAGACGTGCTTCCTCATTTTTCCTCTTCTTGTGGACATTCGAGGCGGTTCTCAAACGTGCTGTAGGAGTGTATGACAGCATGCTAGCTTTTCCCTGCCTTTTCGCATCTCCAGTGGATATTTATTCAGCTTTGCCGAGAGCCATCAAAGTTTTCAATAGTTCCGTCTTAGTCGGCGGATGGCTGTCCGTTTTTCAGCATTATTGGAAGCTGCAAAACATCGTGTGAGCATTTCACGAGAGGCTGTCGCCGAAGACTGTCGCTGGACACGCCCAATAAACCCAAATAATGCGTGTGTTTTGGTGTGGGTTATAGCGATCGGTATAGGAGAGAATCAGCGCTTCGTTGCTTACACAGTGTCTTCGGTACTAATTTTCCCTCCTCTTCTAATACCGATTGCGCTCCCTTACGGAGAGCTTCTTTGGCTGGCTGGGTGCCGCTGCCCCACAGTGATGCAAATGGGGTTCACGAGTGGCCACAAATACCCAAAAGTCAAGTTTACCAAATAGAGTTAATTGCGATATGGCCGAGTAGACAAATGTTTGGGGCATCTGAAATCACATGGTTTTCATGTTTTTGTCAAAACCGGCCTCGTGTATAATCGTCAGAAGTCGTGACATTTTCTAGGTCGTAAAATGACGGGCAGACGCTCGCAAGTTCAAACGCCGCTGGTTTGCGTTCATTTCGTACAAATTTAAAAAAATAAGCATAGGAATGACCCCCAAAGCCTTCTGCTTCTAATGCCGGGTCACAAAAAGCCGTATCTCATTCGCTTTGGCGGTAATCTGACTATTTATCATCATGTTGCAATCGCAGTTTTTTACTAAGAAAAAAAAATGCTTTCGTTTCACCTACAGCACCTATCACAGTGTGTGCCCGTTAGTCCACTATACCATAGCATTCCCTAATCATTTCTGAGTCGCATCGTGAAAGA